TAAGATTCTCTTCTTATCTTTAACCTCTGGGATTTTAATTACAATGTGTCTTGGTGTGGTTCTCTTTGGGTCCAACTTGTTTGGGACTCTCTGTTCTTTTTACACTAACTGAAATAAAGAAAAATCCACAGAGGACCAACACTGAGAGGAAGAAAGCCAGGGTTCAAATCAATGATTTGGAACATAAGGAAGAAATAAACAATCAACCAGAACAGAATGAAGAAACAATAATTCAAAAAAGATGAAGAGAAAATAAGACTCTGGGACATCTCCAAAAGTGTCAACATCCAAATCATAGAAATGCCAGAAGGAGAAAAGAGCAAGAAATTGAAAACTTATTTGAAAAAATAATCAAAGAAACTTCCTGAATTTGGCAAAGGAAATAGACATACATGTTCACAGTGGCATTTTTAAAATTTGCCTCATGTTGATCTACTATGGATTTTCCATATTCATTATTTTTATTGTCTAATATTAGAAAATGTTTTATTTTCTAACTAATCAGAGTGCATATTATAAGAGTAAGTATTTTACTTTAGTTTTAGCTTTGATTCTAAACTTTTGTATGAAACAGAAAATGAACTCTAATATTTATGGCCCAATTTTCTTATAGGAAATGTTTTATTATTATTTATATTAATATTATTAGTAAGGATTGATTCTTTGTAGTTCACAGAACATTTTCATATGTCATGGAAGAAAAGAATTGGCCTTATTATGAAAATTATATATTACTCTCAAGTATCTTACATGTGAATCTATTAATTGTACAAAAAGGACTTAGAAACTTAGAAATGCATTTTAAGCTCCACCCAGCACAACTTCTACTTACCATTTGAACTGACTCTACTTGAAATTCTTTGGAGGATGGTAGTATAATGAGTTTTATTGTCTTCTACATATGTATTTATCTAGATCAGGGGTGTCAAACTCTTTTTCACTGGGGGGCCACATGAGCCTCATGGTTGCCTTCAAAGGACTGAATGCAATTTTAGGACTGTGTAAATGTAACTGCTCCTTAACAGTTAAGCAAAGGTTGGCGCTGCCACTGTGTAGAAATAAGGTGCTGGGCTGGATGAAACAAGGTGGAGGGCTGGATTCGGCCTGTGGGCTTCGTGTTTGCCACCTGTGATCTCGACAGTATATCTATATAGATAGATATACTATATCTAAATAAATACATAGAATATTTTTCAATCTATCACACAAAGATAAGCAAATATATTTGTTTTACTCTGTGTTTCTGTCTTTTTACATTAGTTTTGAAAGTGACTTTATGTTCAAAGCTCTAAATGAAAGTGTAATGTAGCACTCAGTTTAAAAGTGTCATTTAATATGACTATATTTTAATATAGTTTTTTCCACAATAATTAAAATATGAAATACATGGCCAGAATGATTCCTGATGTGAAAAACTTGCACTACAATGATATCATTCACAATCTGATTTATCCAAGAAAACTAACAGCATAATGGATATAACATCATTAACCTTGAAACCAAGACCTATAATAGCCAAAGTTGGCAAGAACAAAGGTCACCATCTGAAGGTTATCCTGAATATCTTGATCTAATTTCTTAAGGAAAGACTACTTCTTTTAATACCCACTAAATGATCATAAAATAAAAATTGCAACTCTGCACTAAGTCAGCTCATGCATCTGTGGAGTTCTTTTGTTCTATGATAGATAAATGACAAAGAAATGAAATATTGGATTACTCTTACTGATATCAATGTGGTGCCCGACTCATAAAAATTTGCAGGCTAATAAGCTAGTCATCGTGTTTTATCAATTTTAACCAGATTGACCAATGTGGCTAAAATTGATAAAATGTGCCATTCCTTCATTCAATGTAGGTTTTTCTAAAATGTTTCAACTAGGTGTGTTCTCTGCAAAGCTGGAACCTTAAATAGTTTTCCCACTTGAGTAAGTTAAACACATTTTCAGGTCACAGAAAAGCAATTAATGAAATCATTTGAAGGAATTTTAGGTAGAGATGCAGCCTTTAATTTATACTATTCCAGTAAAAGATAGGAAAATAAGTAAGTACAATTATAATTTGAGAATTTTTCAAGTAATGTAGGTTTGTATGATAATATAAAGCAAGATTAAATACTTAATATGAACGTTCATGAAAGAAATAGCACTCTAGTGCTATTTATAAATGTATTTATAAATTTATATTTATAAATATAAATAATAAAGGTAGAAAGGAAGGGAGAGAGAAAGAAAAAGAAAGGAAAGGAGAAAAGTGTATGGAAACAGCAATTGTTAATGGAGTGACTTGGCATAAAACATTTTATAGAGATGGTAATTGATAAATAAGAAATATTCCTTAGTTTCATACTTATTTTATAATGTTTTGATAGTACTTTTTTTCTTAGTCATATCTTCAATTATCAGTCCAATTTTAAATGTGCATAATCCTTCTGTACAGCTTGCATTTACATTCAGAGTATCTATATATAAAATATGCTATTTATTAAAATTAAAGCTTTTGATGTAACTATAAAGCAATGTCTTCTAGAATAAACTAAAATATGAATTACATGTTTACATTTTTAAAATGTAATGTTTATGGCAGTAAACATAATAGGATAAAATATTCTTAAACACCGTCTGACATGAGTATTGAGTTTATTCCTGAAGGAAAATTAAAAAGTAAATAAATTCTATTTTTCCATATTATAAAAACAAACTCTCAGGTTTAATACCTATACAATTTTAATATTTGGTTTTTGATATTATGCACTTAAATATTCAAATTACCTTAGAGCACTTAAAAGATCTTCCTGTAATATGCCTTCTGTTTGGAAATTTTGTCACATTTTACCATGAAAATACTATGTGGAGGGAGTAATTATTTTAGTAGTCTAATTTTATTTAAGATTTTGAAAATGTTGTTTTCTAAGGAAATGCAAAATCCAAACACTTGAAGGTTAAAATATTTTCTTATAACTACTACACTTGATTATATCAGGAGTTAGCTTGAGACTATTATACTCCATCAAATTGATAACATATTGGGTAAGGTAGGAGGAATAAATAAATAAATAAAATTGAATTTGATATATGAAAATTTATTCAACAACAATCTATCTTTGCATATTTTAGTTTAATATTTAAAAATATATTTTTTTTTCTTTTATTGAAAAGTCGAGTTTGTGAGCTACTACTATATGCATTATTATAGTGCTATTTAAGCACATACAACTTCTTTCATTTTTAAAGTAAAAATAATACCTTAGAACGTGATTTTCAATGGGTGTGCTGCAGCAGGCACACAGGTGTGCCACAAGAATTTTTAAACAAGAGATACCTGAATATTTAGTCAAGGGCACAGACCTCTTTTCCTTTAGATTCTCATATTAAAAAAAAGTGACAACAGCCAACACAATAGCCATCCAATGTGAATAAATCAAAATTATAGCTATTTTTTGTCAGATTGGCAAAATACATATTTTTGGGGTGTGCTGCAGAATTTTAGCAATTAGTTTATGTGGCCTATGAGATGACAAAGCTTGAAAATCACTGTCTTAGAACAGTTTAAGTAGATATTTATTGCTTGTTTTGACAGGTTGCTCATCTGGATTTAACAATCTTTATGGAAATTGCTCAAAAAGAGCATGCCATGTTGTTGTATCTACTGTGTCTGGCACAATAAATATCTGTTGAATGAATTAGTAATTTATTGTTTGAAACAGGGTATTTTTCTATAGACCTAAAATGTATATAACCTTAAAATAATTGTATTATTAAAATTGTATTATTAATATTTTACCATGTGTTTTTATTCTTTTTAAAAGCACTCTCATATAGTCTTGTTGATGGATCGATATTATCTGAGGAAGTGATTTCTAATGCTGCCTTTTCATACGCTGTCTTAGCTCCATTCCACGTGATTTAGGATTATAATTTAAAGTCCAAAAAGCTGCATTTCCAAAACATTTTCTCCTAAAATGAACGTGTAAAAAAGGTTTCTCATACTGTAGTAATCTAATCTAACCATATGTTTATATTCTCATAAACAAGTAATGAAGATAACTATATTAGAAATGATCATATGAATTCATTAATAAACTAAATGGTAGATTGATGGCATAAATGTTAACACAAATTCTATACAATTTAGTTGTATCTAGATGAAACTTCAAACCTAAGAGAGCAGAGGAAGATATATTTACCTATCAAGACCATCCGTGACTTTCATCTGCTTATATAAATTTGGTCTACTGTGCCCTCTAATTTTTATCTCAACTGCAAATACTAGGTTCTGCCTGGTTTCTCAGGTCTGGAATTACTGATGCTAACAATAGCTGGCATTTGTTTAGCTGTGTGTATAAATGATCTCTTTTAATTCCATGATGTAGGTGATATTTTATCCTTATTTTACACATGATGAAATGGGAAATACAGAAGGTTTAAATAACCTGCCTCAGGTCAGCTAGCATATGACAGGACTTGACACCAGGCAGTCTGCTTAATTAATACTTTCAATACTACATTTGATTCCCTTACTTAGGGCAGGTGTCCTTGCTTGCTCTTGCAAGTTCTCGGGTGCTGGAATTCTGCTTCTGTCTACACCTGAGTAAACCTCACAGGCTTCTGAGCAAGTATTCCATTTGCCCCTGCTTGACTGCTGGATTCTTGCCTGTTGTGTATGGACCTGAGGATTTAGATGCTCTGCATGATGAAATATTTTCCTGTTATTTATCAATACACCTTACTAGTACATCTCACCACATGTTTGGGGTTTTTTTTGCCCCCAGACTTTATATCCTGACTTCTCTTATGCTTGCTGAACTCCTTCAAGATTATTAAAGAAGGTCAGTTGAAGAACTTTTTACAATAATGTGGCATGAAATACTGAATCACAATTGGAGAAAGAAAGGAAAACAGAAATAATTGTGGTTAAAACTCAACAAATCTCAGTATCATATCAGATGCAGTGTCCAACTTTAGAATGAATTAAATGAAGATTCCAAAATTACGAGCTTCATGCTTACCTGGCAGGGGAGATACCATATTCATGAAGGTGGTTTTCCCCAGGTGAGGCTTATCCACTGCACTCTGGATGTGCTGACTCCTGCTATTTCCCCAAATGTGGAAACTTGACTGTGTGATTTGCGGTATTCAGGTACTCTGTTAGAGCTCTCCCCTGGCCAAAAAAAAAAAAAAAAGAAAATATAAGTCTTAGTTACTGGGAGAATGGATGTGTCATACAGAGAAAATAGGCACTGAGAGAAGTTATAGATAAAAAGAAAAGAATTATGATTTTGTCTATAGGCCAAGGAGAAACACACAGAGATATATCTTGATATCACCATATCCACACATTTATTTGATCATTATTCATGATACCATTTTTTTTACTTATAAAATATCTCAGTGAGATATAGTAGAAGCTCAGCAAGCCTCAGTAATATGTAATAGGTGGTTAACTCTTTGTTCCTCCTCTTCCTGTTATTTATTTCAAATGCTCTCTAGTTTCTTCTTGCACTAAAATTTTAGTTTCACCTATTTGAGCAATTTAATCTTGTGTCTGATTATTTAGATGTCTCACTCCTCTCTACCTAGGATATCCCTCTACACAGATGATCCTTTTTATCACTTAACTCTTTCTGCACTTCCCTCATATCCAAAATAAATTTTGTACATTTGTTCAAGCTGTTTACTCATACTTTTACTTCCTAATGTAATTCACAAAGAACATTTAAAACAAAATTCATTTTTACCTTCTTTAATAACATTCATGGTTTGATTTGTACAAAACTACACTGGAGTACATCTTTACTTTTTATGCTAAAGTCTGTTGTGATTTTGTTTTATTTATTCACTAAGACATCAAAAAGTGCAGCCTGTTTTATTTGTACAGGGTTCATATTAATTAATATACTTTCATCACCCAATATATATATGTTCTGTGAAAAATACAAAATTCTTAGTTCATTCCTTCCTTTCCAGTGTTTATAGAGAATGAAAAGATGGGGAATGGCTATAAATGGCAACAATATTAACAATAGTGATATATGAACATATTAGACAAGGTGTGATTTTGATGAGTATGTACTAGAAAGGCTGAAGGACTAGCAAGTCTATTGGATTTGTGGAAAAGAAAAAGAGCCAAAGCAAAACTGTGATGACTCTTCACATCTGCGCTACACCTTGGCACAGCCACTTGCACAACAAGGTAACGTGACCTGGTCTATGTCAATACAGAAGGGATGCATACCCCTCCCACAGAAGGCAGTGCAGTGGGCATTGCAACAAGGGGAAGTTTATGATCTTTTTCAGAGAATATCGTGAACTATAGCAAATAGTGATAAAATGTACCACAATATGCATTATAATAAAGTGATAAGATTTGTTTTCCTGTTCTAAACAAAACCAGTCACAATAATATGTTGTCATTTTATATAAATTCAGGTCTATGCAAATCATAAAGATTATTCACCTAGTGTGTAATACTAATGGATATTTAATATATTATATACAGTTCTGGTTACTAATATTTTGATCTCTGACTTGAGAGTCACACACTATAAATATTCATCTCAAAGAAATGCTCTTATGCATATACATGTAAATTTTGCATTATAATTTCAGGGGATTCTGGAACTTCTAAGCACCCCTTATGGACCACTTAGCACTCTACTGACTTCCAAGATGAGAGAGCTCTATTATGTCTTTTCAGCTTGTTTCTATCTTTTTCATACCATTAGCAATCCCATTTCTTGGACAGCCACAGTTTCAACCTGTAATTTCCTTAAGCCAGTATGATTTGTCTTCTGCAATTATCACTGGTGAAACTTCCGTTGCTAAATATTCTAGAAATATCTTGCTAAATCCACAGGATGCTTTCCAGTTTTTATCTTACTTGATTTTTCAGGAATATCTTACAGTGGTTACCCACCTTACCAATTCTGGCAATGTTTATTCTCTTTATTGGTAGGTATCTGTGACATATGCCCTCCAAGTTTCCCTCCCTTGTCTGTCCATTTCTTGTTAGAACCATGCCTTAAATGCTAGTGTTAATTGAGGTTCTGTAATTCTGCCCTCATTGTTAATGTTTATTTCCATGGTTTCAAATGCAGTAATAATATCCAAATATTTATCATCATCTCAGATTTCTCATTGGATAAATTAACAGCATTAACTCCTTTTGAATACCTCTAAGGGGATGGCTCACAGTCAGATAATAATATTCAACATGATCAAACAAACTCATTTTGTTTGAACCTAAATATAATCCTGCCTGTTTCATACCCCATCAAAGTGTGGTACAGTCTTCATACCTTACTTTTAACTTTCTTATCTCCCAATGTTTATCTTATCTTTTCCAAAATGTATTCTACCTTTTCTTTACTTTAAACTTTTCTAGGCTTCCTATTACCCTCAGAAGACATTTTAAGCTCTTTAACAAGGTTTACATCTTTCATGTATGTTCTTAGATTTGCATTCTCTTCTTTCATTCTAAGTCTCTATCGTCTATACACAGTAGTCAAATTGACACTATCCCTGATCCTTATGCATGCTGCAGTTTATCTGCCCCTGGTTATTTGCTGCTGCTGTTACACTTTGACACCCTTCATTCACAAATTTACTTAGTAAACTTTTCTCATACTCAGCTTTAATTTCCCATCAATAGTTTCAGTGGTTCTTGTCTGTGCTCCCATATCACTCTCATTATATCTCATCATATTGTGTGACTCCTGACCCTCTACACAGCTGATTTCTAGATGGTTCATGAACATCTAGAATTATAAGTAAAGACCTTATCTGCAAATGTATAAATTATAAAATAAGTTTCAAACCCAAAGAGAAATTTTATAACTCCAAAACTCTATAATTGATTGGGAAAGTAAATGAAAAGAAAGTAAAACACAGATGTATACTGTAACAATTATTAACTAACTATGGTATAATGTTTGCTATAATAAACTTAATTCTATAATATGCAGGTTTTCATACTTTCAGGGTTAATCAAAGAATTGTAATGAGCCTTTATTGCCAGCTTGCCAGGAGTCCAGTTTCTGGTTCTCCTACACAAATCAAACCTGGACCTGGTTGCAGTTTGACACCATTTGGTGATAGTTGTCTGTCATAAAATGTCTATGAGATTGTTTTTGATTCTGTGGCTGAATGAGAATTCATAGATTCTAGGGGACATCCACTTGGCTGGCACCTGGTTGGTTAGTATCAGGTTCTTGTTGTTTATTTGCTTTGTTTTGAATACAGTTCACGGAGATAACACTGGGAAAATATTTGAAGTTATAAAAAAGCCAGTTTGCCTCTTCACTTTTCAAGATAAAGTATCATATGGGACATCACCTTGATACTCTGGTGGCCTCCAAATGTATTATCAGCAAGCTATATCAGAGGTCATGAAATTAGAAAGCTCACAGAACAGATGGAAATACTCGAATCACACACTTTATTAAGTTTATTTGAAACACACAGAAGCAAGAGAAAAGAGATAGGGTAAATTAACACATATATGAAAAGGTACAATGTAGAAGGACAATACCATCTGAATCCTGAGGCATGCAATGTTCAAATGTCCTATTCCTCTCTCTGCCACCCCAATCTTCCACACAGATGGCATGATTACTAGGGCCAGAGTTGAAGTTTGAGTTGGGGGTCAACAAGTAGAAGACACTGAGGGCCAACAACAAATACTTGTCCTACTAAAGAGACGCAGGAATACACCTGGCCAACTGATACAGCTTTCTGAGTAGCCTAATGAACAGTAATGGATTTTGTTTGTGTTGCTTAGCAGAGGACATATCGGATTATAATTGAGGTCACCAATAGATGGTCAAAAAAAGACTTCGTGAATGAAAATTTTTCTTGTGTATCTAGTGTTACCTGAACGTTTACAGGCTCTTGTATATTTATTCTTAGGTATATTTACATATTATAAATATATAGTACCCAGATAACTCATGAATATTGGGTATCTCTGATCTTTCCATCCCTTTGTGTTTGACACACACATGATCTGCTTTCTAACTGCTTATCTTATACCCAATTCCTATGAATTCTGTCCATGTCTAACAAACATTTTATCAGCAACTTATATATTTTTTAAAAATTAGAGTTTGCCTACAGTTTTAAAACTGTAAACTTATTCACCTAATAAAATTGAATATTTTTAATAGCAAATATCCATTTCAGAAAAGTAGGCTGCTATGGCTGATTTTATTTGCTGAAAGTGGCTTCAATAATATTCTTATTATCATGTAATTTTGATGCTCCTCCCACTAAGAGGTAGGTTGGGGGTATGTTTTTTTCCCCTTGAAACCAAGAGAGCTTGTGACTTGTTCTCCAGTGAGTGAGTATGGTGGAAGTGACACTATGTGACCTTCAAAGCTAGGTCATAAAAATGTGAAGCAGCTTGGTCTTGTTCACTACTTGTTTTTTACTTCTGTTGCTATTCTGACTGCTCTTGAGCTGCCATGTTGTGGGAAAGCCCAAAGTATCCCATTTAGCAATATCACACAGAAAAGCCAAAAGATGAGAGAGAGAGAGAGAGAGAGAGAGAGAGAGAGAGAAGACAGAGACAGAGAAACAGAGAGACAGATAGCAAGATCTCTCTTGGTCAGCCTTAGCTGCTTTAGCTCTTCCCACCTCCTCTCTCAAGGTCTAGCCACCATTACACATATAAACCATATGAGAGATTCCAAGTCAGAATTACCCAGGCAAGCTATTATTAAATTCTTGACCCACTGATACTATGATAAATAGGAAAAAGATTGCTCTTTTCAGCTACTAAGTTTTGCAATATATTTTTTTCTTTTACTCCATGTAATGCATGCCAGGACACTTGACACATCCTCCCTTGGTCTTAATCTCCCTTCCATGTCTCACTCCTCTGTATTCATGAGAGGTAAACTGGAGTCTACCCCATTTAAAAATGAAGAGAATACAAGAGCCAGTTACTAAAGACATTGTATAAAAGCATAATTGTCATTTTAAAGAGAGTTCTCTACATGACATCAACTGTCTAAGACTTCTTATTAAATTATTCTTATTAATTTAATATTGGAGATGTGTCTTCTACTCAGCTTTTCTAAAGCATTATTCATATTTTTTATTGCTCCATGAATCTTTAAACTATGTCTAAAATAAAGATTATCTATATCAGTTATTCTTATTTAA